GAATACCTACCACAGATGACTAACCAATTAATACTCGACAATATAGATTTCCACAAATACATAAAGAAGAAATAAAGAGGCAGGTAGAAGAACTGTTAGAAGGAGGAATTGTGAAACACTCACAATCGCCATATAATACGCCCATGTGGATCGTACCTAAGAAAGAAGATTCCAAAGGAAACAAACAATGGAGAATGGTATTAGATTTCCTCGCTTTAAACGATAAAACCATCGGAGATGCATATCCTTTACCGAATATCGTCGATATATTATATATCCTTGTTGAATAAATCTCAAGAAATTTTAGAAAAATTTATGCGAAAACGCAAAACAAGATATAAAAGAAAACAAGAAGTTGAAAATTATAATTTGCATAATTGTCTAACAATCTCCGAAGAAAAAGGAAAGAATCGACCCGCCGAAATCATAGAATCATTGCGATTAGAACATTTAAATGAAGCAGAGAGAAAAAGCATTATAAAATTAATAACAGATAGTCAAGATCGATTTCATATTCCTGGAGAAAAATTAACCGCAACTCACGTATTACAACATCGAATACCTACTACAGATGACCAACCAATAAACACTCGTCAGTATCGATTTCCGCAAATTCATAAAGAGGAAATAAACAAGCAGGTAGAAGAACTGTTAGAAGGAGGAATTGTAAAACACTCACAATCGCCATATAATACGCCTATATGGATTGTACCTAAGAAAGAAGACTCCAAAGGAAATAAACGATGGAGAATGGTATTAGATTTTCGCGCTTTAAATGATAAAACTATCGGAGATGCATATCCTTTACCAAATATCGTTGATATATTAGACCAATTAGGAGGAGCTCGATATTTTTCAGTATGCGATTTAGCATCTGGATTTCATCAAATAAAAATGAACTGCGAAGATGGTCATAAAACAGCTTTCACTACTCCTTTTGGACATTACGAATTCGACCGAATGCCGTTCGGTCTAAGAAATGCTCCGGCTACTTTCCAGCGCCTAATGGACTTAGTGTTAACTGGGTTACAAGGCGGGGAATTATTTGTTTATATGATATCGTTATCTACGCAACCTCGTTACAAGAACATGAAAGAAAATACAATGCTTTAATGGAACGTCTCCGAGAAGCTAACTTAAAACTACAACAAGTCAAATGTGAATTTTTAAAAACAGAAGTAACTTATCTGGGACATGTAATTAGTAAAGACGGAGTAAAACCAGATCCAAAAAAATTAGAAGCAGTACAACGGTTTCCAAGACCTAAAACACCTAAAAACATTAAACAATTTTTAGGACTTGCAGGATATTATAGACGCTTTATAACGAATTTTTCCAAATTCGCCAAACCATTAACAAATTTATTAAAAAACGACACCCGCTTCGAGTGGACATCTGTGCAGGAAGAATCTTTTGAAATTTTAAAACAAAAACTATGCGAAGAACCAATACTGCAATACCCAGATTTTTCTAAACCATTCATTTTAACGACCGATGCATCTGGAATAGCCGTTGGAGGAATATTATCACAAGGAGAGATAAATAAAGACCTACCGATAGCATACGCCTCACGAACCTTAACAGATAATGAATTAAAATACGATACATACGAAAAAGAAGCACTAGCTATTGTATATTGCGTTAAACATTTTCGACCATACTTATACGGAAGAAAATTTACTTTAGTTACAAACCATAAACCTTTGATGTGGTTTAAAAAACGCACAAGACGCAAATATGCGAATACTTCGTTGGAGATTAAAATTAGCAGAATATGATTATGAGGTTGTATACAAAGCGGGAAAAACGAACGTTAACGCTGACGCATTATCAAGAAATCCTGTAAATATCGGAGAAATAGATTGTAAAATTATAAAAAACGAGAGATAAGAAACTTTTAAACCCAGATAACCCTAAAGATGCACAGTTAATTGCCGAATTACTAGAAAAATCCGATAGCGAAGAAGAAAAAGAAGATGATGACGATTACCATTTATATCTTTCCGATATCGAAGAAAACGAAGAAATAATACCGTGCCGCGCCGGAACGCGCGCTTGGAGCGTAATATAAAAAAGCATATACTCCATGCGCGCGCGCCAGATCCGCAGGTTTGGACCATCCGCTTCAAAGTTGCAAGTTTTTTGCGTGGAGCGTGGCATGTCCGCCGGGCGGACAGTTCAGTGAGACGCACCACGCTACGCCAACCGCATCACTGATATCGTGCAGCTTTCAATCAAAATATCTTTGATAAAAAAGCGAACAACTCGCGCGATCGCTTGCATTGCATTGTATGCTTATTTTAATGCAAAAAAACAACAACGCACGAAAATGATATGGGTTAAGAAATGGTGTGAAGACAGAGATCGCCACGGTCACATGCCCCTTTTGAGAGAACATCGAGAGAACGAACCAGAAAATTTTAAAAATTATCTACGAATGGATAATTCAATATTTGAATATATTTTGAATCTAATTCGTCCGTATATACAAAAGCAAGATACAGTGATGAGGGAATGCATCACCGCAGAAGAACGCTTAGCAGCTACACTTCGCTTTTTAACTACTGGACGATCTCTTCAAGATTTGAAGTTTTCTACTAGTATTTCTGCACCAGCTTTATGTCATATTATACCAGATGTTGGGCTATTTTTAGTGCGCTGAAAAAAAAGTTCTTGAAAGTAAGTACCAATTTTTTATAATCTATTGTTACATACAAATTTAACAATGTCAAAAAACACAGTTTGACAAAAGAGCAATACTTGTATTACGAAAAAATAAGATACAAAAAATGATTACGTCTTAGAAATAATTAAAACATTTTTTATATATCTTAGAAGTAGTTAAACATTTTTATATATTTCAGAAATAAACATTTTTAAACATTTTAAACACTTTTTATATATCTTAGAAATAATTAAAATATTTTTAAAATCTTAGAAATAGTTACAACATTTTCTATATAAAACATAATAATGGAAAAACATAATAATCTAAAACATCATAATCTATAATTCCAAGTATGAAGTATTGATATTGTCATATGAATGTTCTGCACTAAAGTTTTGTTTGACTGAATTCGCTGAAAAAAATCCTGTCGTGTGAATTGAAGAATTACAGGATATATTATTACTATTCATAATATTATAAAATTCTCGGTTTTCACTAATAACAGTGTTCGCAGTAAGTTGGTTTAATAAACCCTTAGTTAAAATTAAATTAATTAATGTTTCTGCGAATATTGCTTGAGAACTTGTCATCTTCGCTAACTTTTTACCGACATTCATCCCGACAATTTCATATTCAGTAGGTTCAATATTACTTGTCTCCAAAGCTCGTTTGCAAACCTGCATAAATTCAGAGTTTGCATTAATTGCTGATGCCTTCCTTTTTGTAGATCTCAACATTGCAAAATTTGTTTTAAATGATGCTTAACCAGAACTCTCAAGTGACTTTTCTTTTTCAGTTACCTGAAAGTAAAGAAGATTGGTTGCACATAGCGAAAGAGTTTGAGGAAAAATGGAATTTTATAAATTGTGGAGGAGCTCTGGATGATAAACACATTCGTATTGTTCAACCACGTAATACCGGAGCTCAGTATTATAATTACAAACACTTTTATAGTATTGTATTGATGGCTCTTGTAAACCCGAATTATGAATTTATATTTATCGATGTTGGAAAAAATGGAAGAATCTCTGATGGTGGCGTAATTGAATGTACCGAATTTTATAAAAGACTTCAGTCAGATCGCTTAAATCTTCCCACAGTCGAGGAAACGAAACATAATCTCAACTTTGTTTTTCTCGGAGATGAAGCCTTTTCATTAACCAAGAACTTTTTAAGACCTTTTCCTCAAAAAGAGCTAACTTATGAGAAACGCGTTTTTAATTATCGATTAAGTAGAGCAAGAAATGTATCTGAAAATGCTTTTGGATTATTGAATAGTAGATTCAGAATTTTGAATACTTGCATAAATATGGCTCCAGAAAAAATTAAATGCATAGTATTGGCAATATGTGCTTTGCATAATTGTTTATTAAAATTATCTTCATCTTATTTAACACCATCGATATGTGATAAAGATAATAGTACTATGACAGATACTATGCCTGGTAAATGGCGTTCAGAATCAAATAATATAGAAAAATTACAATCTTTAAGACCAAGATACGTAGAAGTAGAAGCTATACAGAACAGAAATAACTATATGGTGTTTTTTAACCAGAATGGTAAAGTGCCATGGCAAGACGATATGTTAAAAAGAGGTGTAATATAATAATTAGAAAAATAAAATAAAATTATGAGACTTACTTTTTCTTTTTCCTTCTCGACACTTTGGACTTCCTCATCGATTTCAAATTGTTCTGCATTATCTCTCTCTTCTACATGGTCATTTCGATTTTCATTATTTTCAATATTGCTATTACTGTCCGTGGGTTCTTCCTGGTTTCTCGTAAATAGTAATAAATCAAAGTACCAAAGATTTGGCTTGTGCGCATCTTTTTCTGAACAACCACTCCTTGTTGTTTCATTAATTTTTTTTAATTCCTTACGAAAGGCTCCACGTATTCCTTGAATTTTCTTTTGTATAAAGTCTTTATTTGCATTGGGACAAATTTCACGTTTGCAAAACTCAATAAGTTAGTGATACGCACGATTTTTTGAATTTTTGTTTTTGTAATCGTCTGATTTTATCTTCCACAAGCAGAGGAAACTTCTATAAAGTTCAATAAACTTTTCTAAATTGTCTTTGGATCACATTTTAATCACTATGTATGAACTGTCGCGCCGACCTGTCACGTCGAAATAATGTGTCGAAACAAACGCAAAAGTCTAGACTGCAGTCTAGACTCGCGCGCCGGGAACGCGCGATTGGCCATTGTTACGTCGGGAATTAAATTTAAAGTCGAGAAAAAGAAAACCCGCGTTTATTGAAAATAAAATAATTCATGGTAACGTCATAGACTCTAGAGAACTATTATTTTTACGAAAAGATAACATGGTATATTTCGTCGACACCCAGGGAAGACCTTTAGATTCAGGCTCACAAAAACTTTTCGAAAGAAAAGAGCTTCCAAATCTAGGATCCCTTGTTCTAGGAAAGGTTAAGGCCATAAAACATAAAAATCATTATCATGTGGCTTTACCCATCAGCGAGGGACAGCGAGAAGGCCCTACGGCTACCCTTCTTAACCAAATTAAAATCTTAGCAGATTTACAAAATATAACTAAAGATTTAAAATTAGAAATATTTAGTATTGCAAAAACCGAATTTATTATTAACGTTCCATGGAATGATATCAAATTACATTTACATACAATATTCACCGACGCTCCCACTAAAATTATTATTTGTCACGGACTAATTAAATACCCACCGAAAGATTTACGTTCCATTATAATCAGTGAAATGCATTGTTTACCAACGGGAGGACATCGTGGAGTCACAAAAACTTATAACA